AGAGGCAGCTGAGAGTCCGAACCATCTACGAAAGCAAACTGGTTGAATATGATCCCGAAAGAAGACTGGGTAATGGAACCATTCTTCCTGCTCCAGAGAGGGTGGTTGGCCCTTCTGGGTCCTGGCTAAAAGTAGAAGTCCCATTCCTGTCCCTTCCCCCCTTCTCTTTCACTGCAGCTGAGCCTTCCAGATCTGCTCTTTGACTAGCTTTGCTGTCCCTCCCCTCCCCCCTTTGCTGTCCCTCCCCTCCCCATTCTTAGCCAAATGATGTAGAAGTGATGACATAGCACGCTGTGCAAAGATGACTTTCATCTATCACCCAATACTGATGGCCTGGATTAAAATAGTCTGCTCAGTTTCTTATTGACAAGGTGCGCTTCTTATCTATGGCGTCAGCTTTCTTCTGCCCTTTTTCCAGGTATCTTCTGGGTGAGCTGCGAAGCTGGAACCTACATCCGGACACTTTGCGTGCATCTGGGCTTGTTGCTGGGAGTTGGAGGTCAAATGCAGGAGCTCCGACGAGTGCGCTCTGGGGTCATGGGAGAGAAGGTGGGTCAAGGGTGTGGCCTTCCAAGCATGTGGCTGTAGCTACCCAAAGTGTTGAGTTCAGTTCAGGGTTCTTCCCCTGTTCTGGTAATTAAACTTTGGGACAGTAAATAGTTGGGAGATGTTGAGGTAGGAAGTTCCATTTTTCTGCCAGGTCCCTCTCTCAGCCCACAATATTAAGTAGTGTCCAAGTGAGATGAATTACATGGGGTCCCAGGCTGTAATGCTTTGAAGTTACCTGTGAAAAGAGCCCAACTGCACATAGGTTAAAATTAAACATGACCTGAACAGCTTAATATGGCTCATTCTCAGTCACTATGGGGAAACAAAGTGGCTTTCAGCTTTTAAAAGTTTACCTTGTTTTGGGAGGGAGCACAGGTTATAAACCAGTCAGATTCTCTGGAGTGAGGAGTGATTTCTATGAAGGATTTTTGCAGAGTTCTGGGGAGAATTTGTCCTGAAAAGCTGGGGAATCTTTTGCCCTGGGGTCAGTTTCCCTCTGAGGGTTCTTGACGACGGAAGAGACGGTCTAAATTTTGTTACCAAACTCGAGTGGCTCTAGGTGTACAGAGAATTGAAGTTGTTTGGTGTATTTTCACCAATGCTTGTATAAGTTCCTTAGTTCCCCATGTGTCTGAATGCACCCATGGCTTGCATTTTGGACGAGCCTGTATTGCAAGGATTGAACATACAACTTCATATGCAGAAAAATGCGGTATTTGGTCAGAACAGGATCAAGTAGCAGATGATGGGAAAGGATTGAGCTTAGAAAAGATGACATCTACATTGATTGCTGACTGAAAACCCCTTATGACTTTTTGCGTAAAACAGAAAAAAATGAACTTACGATTTATGGTTTTGACAATTAGATAGGATAGATTAGAGAAAGAAAAATCATGATGTAACTTTAGAGAAAGTGGTAAATTTATCGTTGTACTTAAAATGCTGTAAAGAAGTTCAGAAGCAGCTTCTTTATATCTTTTTTAATTTCTATTTTACTTTTACTTTTTTTCCTTTCTTGCTCTTTTAGCTTTCTCTTTGATTTCTTTTTCTTTTTTCTTCCTTACTCTGTATTAGTTTATATTAGTTTTTACCTTTGTTTTTAAATA